GGCTCTGCATAAGAATTCCTACTGCTGAAAAGTGGTCGAAGCAAGTGCAAAGCATACAAGGAGTAAATTATATCCAAAGAGATACTTAATTATATATCTACTTGACTAAAACAGCAAGGAACCTTCAATGCGTGAGAAATAATCGTTTCAGCGTGAGAGTGCAAGATTGAATTCGTTTGCGTGAACCTCATGCTCAATGCGTGAGACTTGAGAGCACTGTGTCGTTTTTTTTTAATAAACAAAGGTATTACGATGTGTTATACTTGTAGCTTCATTTTAATCGAAAAAGGTCAAATTTCCTGACACAACTCCTCTGAGACGAAATTCCGACAGGCAACATAAGATTAAAGAATCTTGCGAAATGCCGACATGGCTGGTGGCGAATTTCAGACAGGGGACATGGGTACCCCCCTAACAGGGCCTCAATAGTAAATTTTTTGTGTGAAAGTATGTGAACTTGTAGGAGACTATTACAAAGATCAGTGGCCAAGGAGTTGAACACAGGACTACCGAGAACAATTCCAGCTATTGACAGCGTGGAAGGTGTAGACCTGGAAGCTAAATGTGGTCTCCCCAACTGATGCTTTGAAGGCAATACTGAGTCAGGATGTTTTGTGTTAACACTACTGAGCAGAATGCTGTATTAAACAAGGACGATACGTAATTTATGTTACCCAGGTGGGGTGAGGATGCTGCCCTTGGGGAGGTGGAACCTTGCAAAAAACACCCCTTCTTCTGTTACTTCCCCTTTCATCTAAAAAGCCACATTAAGAAAATTTCAAACAAATAGACTTGGTCAAGATGATAGTCCATAGTGTTCAATCTTCTGTATGCCATTGTGTTTGTTGTTGCTATACTTATTGTAGCTGTTGTCTTTGTTGTTATTGTCACCTGTTGAACAATGCTTATGAACCTAGAGGAATCATGACAGAATAAAAGAAGTTGGCCAATTACACATCATCTTGGTCAATCGCACTATTTTATTAGTCAACAATCCATTGATAACTGACTGATATCACATCTTACCGTGTCTCACCCTCAGCAACTTCTCCTTTAGCATGATTCAAGACATGCATCTGTGGAATATCTGGTGCATAAATACTAACATCAGCTCCAGCACGGCTTAAGTGAACCAACACCCTTTAGTGAAAACACAAACAGCTGGATTTGTAATTCATGTCGGTATACAAAACAAGAAATAACATGGAAAAATGTTCACATGGCCCTATGCTATGATATTATACTTGTAAGTAGATTCTTTTATACTTTCGTTCATGTTGTTTAGAACATGACTTTTCAAATTGCTTACTTGATAACCAAAGAGATGTAGGACAAATTGGACAAATTGCAAATCATCAGAGAATTAACTAGTTAGAAATGACACACAAATTATGCTGTGGGAGAAAATAACATATTTTCTCAAATGTATGGACCAATACCCAAAGACATACTTACGCTGAAGCCTCATGAACTTCTGCACCATCAAAAACTCCATTTCCAGATAATACCTAAAAAGTTACTTACTTTAATAATCAAGAAAGAGTAACATTTCTTAAGCTTATGTTCTACCAAAATATATCTGGACTTTGACTGGTTACCAAGGATAGCATAATAAGGTTTGTGTCCAAACCCTTAATAAAGCATGCAATATGGATTAGCTCTAGATTGCAACAACAGAAAAGTGGCCAATGACTGGTCGGAATGCAGGGTTCCTTAAGAGTTTCAACATGTTTGGTGGCTATCTTCACATGCACAGCATAATCACAATGCAGGAAACAAGTAAAGCATAACTTTTCTATTGCTAAAAATAAATATTTTATTTCCAAATAGGGTTTTTCTTACTTGCAATGTGTGCAGATATATCAACATCACATTACCCATCCCCACCTTGTTAACAACCACTGATGTCAAACTCCTGACTAGTCTCTCCTCCCCCCCTCCTTCCACACACACACCCCAACCCTTCCCCCGTATGCCCAAGGAGGGAAGGATCCTTCAAATGCACCGGTGGTTATTTATATTTCGCTCTGGGTTTCGCTTTGAGATCAGTTTGCATTTCTTTTTCCTTTGTTTCGGACTGCTACTTTTAAAATCAAACAAAGTGAAGCAAAATTCAAAGTGGTTTAAAAAAGAAACCAAAACACTAATATAAAGCCTCACATATCCAAAATATTTTGCGCAAAAACATTTCTTTGTTAATCGGCCATTATACTAACCACAGCAACTGAAGCATGAGAGGTAGAACCCAAACTAAAGGCCCGAGAAGTCTTGAAAATCCCACGTCTCCTCAGCAGACGAACTGCAGAGCCCAAAGCAGCCATCTTGAACAAGAACTCACAGGCGTTCCTTTCCATGCTGCAATTGCAATAGTTCAGCAGTCTTGATTGGTTACTTTGTAATAAACCAATGAAAACTCTCGTTTAAAGATGAACGAAATACCGAGCCCGCAAATCTTCAGCAGTTTATATTAAAAAAGTAAGATGGCGGCCGCGAGAAGTTCGAATGTTCTTGGTTTAGGTAGAATTTCATTGCTTTCTCTTGGAATAACCACCGCAAGAAGTACCTTTTTAGCGCCTGTGAGTTCATTTCCAACAGTCGGTCGTCATAGCATTCACCTGAGCTCACCAGGTAACATAAGAAATGCCTTGTAAATTTCGTTAATAGACGCTCACTGCAAAACTCTGCCCTTAGAATGATGTTGTGACGTTATTTGCAAGTTATATAGTGTGGAACTTTGTCTTCTTATTTTCCAGTTGATGGAAGATACCATAACACCGCGCGAAAGATAAAGCTTCGCCGTTTTAAATTAGACCAGTTGAAAGCAAAACTTGACGTATGTATCATAACCCTGAAATAACCCAAATATTAGTTTTGTTCAGATTCACTTGTTTATATATATGTATGGGGAAGGAAAATCTGAAATGTCATTTGTTTGAAATTATTACGACCAAGGGATAAAGAACTATTAATTTAAAACTTTCTTGGTTGATCTCAGCAACCTCTCCCAGTCAATGATGTTTCGTGATGCCTGTTTTTATCTACATGTAACACAAGACGGACATCCTAGATTACCACAACAAAACTTATTTCTGTTTTTACTTACTTGACTTGAATTATGTTTTTGGTTGTTTGTTGCCAGGTAATAATAAATCATCAACTTCCCCGACTTTGAGTTAGTATTTTATTATTATTATTATTATTATTATTATTATTATTATTATTATTATTATTATTTTTGTTTACCTCCATCAGAGATTAGACGAAGAACAACGGCCAACTGGCTGTATACTATGCCCTATGAGAGGTGATGTGGAAATTGACTACAAAGTAAGTTTTCCCATGGTCAGTGTATAGAGAAGGAAGATGTCTGTTTACAAACATAGTTCTTGTTATGTAGATATTTTTCGGGAAAAGAACTCTCTGTTTCACTAGCCAACAGTTCTCTGGTTGGCATAGTGATAACAACAAGTAAACATCACTAGCATCCTTCCTATTGGAGCATGAACATCTAATTCCAATTCCTTAGAAGAACAGCAATTCTCATCAATTCTCATCATGAACAGTAATAAGCTATCACAGAGTGAGTCTCTGCAGACTGTAAACCATTTAATTAATTTCTTGCAGAATGTTCGCTTGCTGTCCCAGTTTGTCTCCCCACACACCGGAAGAATATATGGACGTACTTTGACTGGTCTGTGGTAATCTTAGCTCAATGATAATATTTTCCCTCTTGTTTTCTCTTGCCTGAACAAAAGATCACTTTGTTGACTGCAAACTGATGCACTGGAGTTATTAATCTAATAAGCTTGTTGATGACTTTAGAACAACTAAGCACATGAAAACCGTCATCTACGTGGGATTGAATAGCTTACGTACTGACAAACCTCTTTCTTGGCAGGTTTATGTGATAAAAAGCAAAAAGAAATAGCAAGAGCCATAAGAAGAGCAAGAGCTATGGGTATTACTTGATTGATCACTCTTGATTTTTTTTCCAGTACCTAAACTCAGATCAAAACTGTTTACTTCTCTTTTGTGTGTTTCTTTCAGGTTTCATGCCCGTGACAATGAAGTACCTTGATTTTCATGAAGATCCAAAGCTATTCTAGCAGCAATTTTGAGTGGCTTTTGAGTAATTTTAAAAAGCTTGCATCTGACTGTTCTAACTTGTAAATAAAATCAAACATTGATCCCTTGCAATACAGTTTTCTTTTTAAGGTTTCTTGTTACCCCTTTTGACAATGGGATGGGAGACAGGCTAACTACAGAGTACTGACAGAGATCAGACAAGGATGCTTGTCGTAAGGGTACACAAAGAGAGATTGAATTAGTTGTCAAGAACAGAAATTGACATTTAACAATCTCTTTTGTGTTGGACGTGGTTCATGCTTGGCAGTCGACAAAACAAGCTATTGCCTCATTTCACATCAAACCTGACCTCCCAAATACAAGGTGAATTCATTGTAACAAGTCAAACCAATGACCTGGTCAACTGCTCCACAACTGAGCTATAGGAGACTACAGAGAGCAGGCATACAATTACTTTACTTACTAGTATCAAATGCGACAAACTTCCTGCAGACATCTAAGATTAGTTTTGTTGATAAGCAAGGATCCTTATAAGTAAAGGGTTTTTAAAACAATTTGAAGTAAAAACTAACGGTAAAAGCCTGCGATGTTTCGACCGAACTTCAGTCATTATCAAGCTTAAAAGTGAAGATGAAAATTTTGCGTCAGTATAAATATAAAACAAGTAAAAGTAAGTAAAGTATGAAAATATAAAAAAGGGTGTTAAGAACAATCAAATGCATGCAAGAATAACATAATTAAAATTGATTAAAAGCTAATTGAGTCTGACTGTACATTGATACTTAGTCTCAGTTCATTAATAAAAAACGTTTCATAAAGGAGACAGTCAAACTTGTTCTTGCACTTTTTTAAGATGGTAAAATTCTTGCTAAGATCCTTGGGCACATGAGAATGTTTCACACGATATGCAAGGAGCAAGAGGAAATAAATTGTGGCAAATGTAAAGGTCAGTAGAAACATGAGAACCATGCGAATAAGCAACAACATGGAAAGGTTAACCAAGTTCTCCCAACAGAAGTCGAAACTATAACCACGTAGGTTTGGCTTTTATTGGGAAAGTGGCTTGTATCAGTGTTTTATTATTAATATCCTCTATTTTTAGATGTCTGGCAATGTTCTGATTAGTCTGAAGTGTCAGCCATCATCCTTGCAGACAATGTACTGACATTTCCCTGCACTTTTCAATGAAATGCACTCTTAATTTCATGACCCAACTTAAGACTATTTTTTTTACCCTGCTTTCAACTACTTGTTATGTCGACAAAAAAGAGACCCTGAAATGAAACTAGTTTTAAAAAAATGTGCAGATAAAAATCTACCAATCACAATCCATATAAGTCACATTCTGAACCTTTTGAAGTGAACTTTTGTTTAGTTCACGTGATATTATTTGAAAGCACAGTGAAATGAGGTCACTCTAAGGAACATTTCCAACCATGTGTAAAGCCTATACCAAACAGAAACAAGTAAGAATAACCAGAATCAAAACTATAATACTCTTTTTTTGCCCCAAAACTCCCATACACACCTACAATCAAGGACAAAAGTAGTCGAGACACTACCAGAAAACAAACCTTCCCCCTTAGAGTGTAATTTATCCTATCTCCACTCCTCATATTTCATCCCCTTTCCCCTTTCCAGTGTTGTAACCACATGAGAGAACAAAAATTGACAAAGCCTGTTTCAACATTGATTAGGGGGTGGGGGTGGCTATTGACTTAAAAGGTGTTTTCGCTATCAAGGGAAATGTGGATTTCTGTTCAGAAATGTTCCACTTGCAGAAATGTCTTAGAGCAACACTTTTGTCCCTGATTGTAGCAACTCATAAAATTTGAACCTGTTCAAATCTTCCTTGACAATCACCACGTTTTCTCTCATAATTCTCATGCTTATTGAGAGTTAAAGAAATCTCCACTCCAAATGACTCATTCCCATGTGGCCAAAGCAACAAAATTATGCAAAAGTAATTAGAGAAAAAAATGTGCACCAAAACAACTTCAATGACTACTGAAAAGATGTGCTCAGAAGAAATCAAATTTAACTAAAACAAGTAGATAGTTATGTTAATAATATAATACATGGGTTTGTTTTAATACTTCAATCACAAATTGTATAAAACATGCAAATAAGTGACATTGCACTAATCTGTATTTACAGGAAAAATGGCACATACAAAACTTCTGTGTACAAGTCTTTAAAATTGTCCTTGATTGCAAAGTAGATTGGACAATTGAGAGGCTAGCAATTACACATAGCCTTTCTTTCAATTTGGAAATGAATCGTTTAATAAAAAAAAAACAAATGAATATATTTCCCTTTTGCTTAGAAAGTTCATCAAGTTTAGGAAGCACTGTCTGATAATGGCTATGTTGGATGCTTTCAAGCAAAGTCCAACAAGTTCCTTTGCAGTCTGGCTGTTTTGAGCTGACATTTTACTCAATAACCACACAGTGACAACTTACTAGTCACAAATTTGGGTTAACCAGCAGACCCTTCTTTGTTATGGGGTTCATTCACTTGCATCAAATTGCAATTAGGTAGATTTTAAATTTCATCTGAAAAACGTTTGCAGGTATTGTATCCTACATCCATAATATGACACCAGATGAGTACTAACAACATTAAATGGTGTTCAAATTTACATAATTTGTTAATATATACTGTCATATGTTTCTAGCTCAAAGATAACATCTCAAAGTGTCTAATTTTTGTTTTTGAGAGGTTGCCCAATCCTAAACATGGTAAACTTAAATGTATAATTTATTAGGGTTTGATTCCTTTCAGTTTCAAGATGAACTTCACAGAATCCAGCCCAATTCCACAACAGAACTAGAGAAACTTAGTAATCTGAAAAACAGTCCTTTTTTAAAATGTCTTGATCGGTGCTAAAAAACTGGAGAAGATGATTCCATAGCAAGTTTCTTAGCAAATTTATCTTCATAGTCTGGTCCCCTAATATTGTCATCTATGGAATATGGTTGTGTTTCATCATCTGTTATGTCATCATCATTTTCTGGACTTGGATAATGTGAAACTTTCGCAGGAGTCTTCTGTTTCCGTCTTGAAGTTCTAGGAAAACTCTCAGAGTTGACAGAGGACTTATCCTCCATTGGAGCATCATTTTCATGTAGAATGGCTTGATCATTTGTCTCCATTGATTTATTTTCAGTGGATGTCATTGCATCTGTATTTTTGTTATCCGTGATAGGCATTTTTGATCCTTTTTCCTGCGCAGTTTTATTATCATTTTCTGTCTCCTGGTTGGATTCATTTGATACAGAATTTGGTTGTAGAGGTCGCTTTTCGTCCACTTCACATGGCACTGTAATAGTAAAAGGTAGTTATGTACCAGATTAATATCTACACAACTATTGCATTGAAAGCAAAGGTAAAATCGGAATGAATGAATGACTCAAATAAGGTCCAAGGTCCACAACTTGGTCTCTGTTCACCCTAAAAGCGTCAAACTTGGTCAAATGACCACGTTCGAGATGATCTTTCATGTGGTGGTGTTTATTGATTGATTAAAATTTGAAAGTCAGCCCAGTTCCCTGCCCAAATCCAAAATGAACAATGAAAGTAAAGAGACAGTATGGATAAACACAAGGTTGAGGTGAACCATCCTGACTGCTGTACAGAAGTGGGTTTACCCTGGGGAACTCCCATATGAAAAGGTCGGGGATGCTAGTCGTCTCGCTTAGGGATTTAAATCAAGGATTCTGGTCTCACTTAGGGTGATGACAAAACGCCACTATTTTAGCCTTCAACGTATCTTTTAGGGTGCAACGAAAAAAACAAAAATAAAACAAACAATCCAATTTTTAGTTCTTTTATTAGGCTTGATTTCCGCTGGTCTTTCAAGTCCGGTCTACTAGACCAGGCTCCTTTCTTGAACAGCAGCTGGTAATCGAGTCTATCCTGTTTTAAGTGGTATCTTTTAGAGGTGAAATAAAGCTTGAACCACGCTCCAATTGTTCTCCTTTAGGGGTCTAATTCAAATTTTCCGACAAGTATCCACAACCTTTTCATGTGGGAGTCCCTGAGCCTGGGTGGGTATAATAGAGAGGAAGCTGTTCTGTAATCAGAAGGCGTGAGAAATTGTTTCCCACAATTCTCTGTGACAAAAAATCCTGGTATGAGCCAAGAATACCCACTCTATGCTTCTTCACACCCCACAATAGACAGTGTCATTTTTACACTGCAGTGGTACAGTATTGTTCTGAGGGTTATTTTTTTAAAGTGTTAAAACACAAGCAAAAGGAACAGCAGAATCAAGAGAAATGTTTTATCATGTTTCGTTGATAATTATTTGAGCCAATACTGGAAAACCCTGCAAATATTATCACTACACATCCTATCATTAATAAAAACAATTTGTGTTAGTCACCATTTTTGCTGGCTTGTTGTTGTCGACATTCTTCCAGTTGCCTTTTTCTGCTTTCAACTTCCTCAGTTAACGATGATACAGTTGTTTCACTATTTTTTACTACTTCAACCAGTTCCTAAAAGACCAAAATTATTTCAATTACTGTAAGTATGCATATCAGTTTTAAAACAATGACGAATTATGGGAAGAATATCCACTACTTTAAGTTTGTTTTTGTTTGGCTGAATCATCATCATTCTGTCTGCTTTATGATGTATTTAAATTGGATTGTCCTTTGTTAGTTATCATGTTGTAATTAAGCAACATAAGTTAGTGTAGTGTGATTTATGTAGTGTTTAGTTTGTGCTGTATAAATTAGGGAGGGGGTCATTCTTAACCACAGATGAGGAGCAGTTGTTACTGGATTGCTGAAGGTGATATTAAGAGGAAAGCCATTTTGGAGCATTTTGCAGTGCTAAATGGGGAATTTTATATAAGGGAATGTTTGCTTTGAAAAAATAATTAGGATTTAGTGTACATAACTAGTACCAGTCCCAAACCTCACATTAAAATTCTAAATCCTTAAAACTTGGAAGAAGAGAAGAAGAGTTCCGATTTTTCTCATGAATCAGAAACAACTTTACCTTCTTTATAATCGTACCAACGGAATTACTGTTCGCACTTAGGAAAATGGAAAGCTACTGTAGAATGTCTGTTAATAAGGGTGTTTATTACCTGATAGCTTTTATGATAATGTGAGTTTTAGAACACCCATACAGAGCATTAAGCATGTGGATGTTCATAATCTGTTGACACTGACTTAAACTTTCAGATTTAGATGTCTTTCAAGTTTTAGGGTTTTTTCTATTCTGGTCACATAACTGGTCAAATGTGGCAACTTTTGCAGGACTTTTCAATGGAACAAAAGGTCTGTGCAAATTAAAGTGCAGGCATCAAACACACCCTCATAATCTTTGATAGCCTACAACCAGGCTCACATTTGGGAACACATGTGAGCAACAAAGCGAGAATTCAAAAGTGAAGCGGCCCGGTGGGAAGGAGTCTGGTGAAGAGGCACAAAGAAAGGGCGTGGCTTTGTCACTCACACGCCACTCGTGCTCTAATCCCCAAATGTGAGCCTGCTGACAGACTAAATCTTTGATTACTGCTAGCGATTAAGAGTTTACTTTCAGAAGTAGATGCTTATCAGCCACACACACCTGTAGCTTTTTCATCATGGTAATATACATGCCATGCATGTTAGAAGCTTGTTGTATACATCCTTTGTTGTCAACAAAGTCATTCCTGCAAGCCGACATGAACTACATGTCATTATTATCAATAGACTACAACTAAACATAAAATGCCTCAATCTGATGAATTATTTTCACATATTAAATATCGTTCTATTTATCCAGACAACACAATATTCTAAGTCACATATCACTGGTCATTACCTGTAAGAATCGATTACTTCATGAAACAGACTAGACGTGGCCTGAGCAGAGTGGCAATTGAGTCTGTACTCGGAATGTGATGTATCTCCAAGGTTTAGAATCTGCACTTGAACTGGCTCAAAATGCCTGACATGAATTTAAGAACACATTTATTTAACATTACATGTGCCCCCTTTGTTAATCTGCTTTCAAAAGCCATAGTTATGGAAGTTAGCATGTGAAATAAATAAAGATGTAGTAGATTACAGAGTTGCAAGCAGAAATAACAGAAAACTGTTCACTACCCAATTAACAATAAGATTATTAACATGATTTCCGCTGAACACTCAAGCAATAATGGCAAAAACAAAGTTACCAAAAAAACCTTATAGCATGGTAATATTTTGAATTAAGGTAAGAAGATCTTATCAAGACTTTAGCTCTCAAGCTGACCCCGCAAGAGAAAACTGAACTTGAAGTTATCCATATTTCAATAAAAATGGACATTTCGCATTAGTTGAAAACACAACAACACACGCATTAAGCATTCTTACGAGATTTGACATTAAATTTCTCGAGAATGCTTGGAGATTTAATTGCGTGGTCACCTAGAAAAATGAATTAAAGTGACATGTTTTAAATAGTATTCAAAAACTTGCTGTGCTGTGAGTAGATTTTTAGCAAGTAATTTTTGCACTTATTGCTCAAACTTTGAGCAGAATCCATCTTAATTTTTGTTCTTGATTTCTATCTTGTGATAGTTGACAAAGGTGCAGCCTGAGGCACATATCACACATAGAAATCTGGAGCAAATAATCACTAAGTATCAATCTACCAGTCAGTAAAAACTTTATCTAAATCCTTTGCACAGACACTTCAAAAATCCAAAGAAGCAGCAGCCATTTTGTTAACAGCCACATACTGCTAGGCTGCCCACTATCTACAACAGAATAGATGGTGAGTAGCTTAGCCAAAAAGAAAACACTATTCATGATAGACTGTTTAAATAGATCAGTATAATCATATCAACAGCAAATCTAGGTTATGATAAGGTCACAACCAATCAATTCTTAATAATCCACTGACAGAAAGTGAATACAATACTGACAATGATCAACTAAAGATTCAGTCTACGGATGGAAATTAATTTTTAATTTTAAAACGTCTACAGACATACCCTCCATCGTGTACAGAACGGCAAAAGCTGTAGTCTAATTTGTGAGTAGCCATATCTCTGGACATGTGTGCTGTGAAGATTGCCATGATGAATTCTTGAAGAAAGAAAGAAATCATATGATATTACAGCGAAATCTGTATTAAGCAGACACCATATTAAGCAGGCACCCTCTATTAAAGTGGTACTATGATCAAATTTTGACCCCTGATTTTTTTGGTGTATCATATAGAATGACATGAAAGAATAAAAACGCCGTTTACAGTTTGCAAATATCTGCATTAGTTCCCGAGATATTTAAGTTTGAAAGATGTGTAAAATATGTAAATGAGATAACTGATGACGTCATATACTTAACCCAATATTATATCAAGTATATAAATTGAGCTATCTTGGCCAATTTGCAGCACAGACCAATGAAACCTGGTAGGTAATAGTTCTACAGGCAACACACCTACAGCCATAACAAATTCTGTTTTCATGGCAACTCACTCTTTTCCAGTCCCCACCCACTTTATTTCAATATTTTAGTGATTTTCAGCTCAAAAAACATTAAACAAGGCCATGAACTCGAACTAACATATTCACATGCCTGCTAGATCATGCATATGAGGCACCATTAGCAAATGTCAAAATGCAATACCAAAGGTGGCCAGAAAAGCCATTGATATTGGGGAGGTCTGGAACCCAGTATGTTGCCATGGTAACAAAACTGTCATGCTCATATTGTGAAGCACATTTAGAAGAATGTTACTGCAAAGTATCAAACATTTCTGATACAAATTGGCTGAGATATCCTTCTTCATTATATTTCATGAAAATTTGGTTGAGTGTATGACGTCATCRTTTGGCTAATTTGCATATTTTAAAAACTTGAATATCTCTAGAACGAAAAGAGATATTTGAAAATAGTAAACAGCATTTTTCTTCTCATACAGACTACTTGTTTATGTTTTAAAATGGTTTAGATAGGAAAGATGCGATTTTCATCATAGTACCACTTTAAGTGCATACCAGCTTGAGTCCCAAAATTTTCTTTGCACATTTACTGTAAAATAAACCTGTATTCAGTGGACACCTCTGTTAAGCGGATGCAGTCACAAATGTTAGGCCATTTTGTTGCATAAAACCTGCAATAAGCGGACACTTTAAAGGCTTTTTACTTCTAAAAGCTCAGCTCAGACTCCTTTAACGTTGTTCAGTGATGTCCTTTTAAAGCTAAGTAGATTACAGATTGATGCATTGACTGACTGGACATTGTGCTATGGGCTGTCTTTGATCTTACACTGTGTTACACTCTTACAAAAGGGTTAATAATAAACTATTATTGCACATTATATTAGAACCTGTTTTGAGCGGACACCTTGTATTAAGAGGACACTAGTGAATGTCCCAAGGGTGTCCGCTTAATACAGTCAGGTTTCACTGTAAGTATTATATTCTCACACAGTACTGAGAGGTATGCCAAGATGATGGCATACCTTCTATATAGCTAAACCATCGTTTCAAACAGGCCTAACTTTGCCCAAAAAAGATAAAGAAAAGAACTACCAAGAATTTAACAAAAAATGTTAAATTATACCCAAGCAGGGTTTGTAGTTGTAAAATAAAACCAAACAAAACAAAAATTAAAAGTTATTAAATAAATTTAATTGCTTTGTTTACCAAAAGATATTGGTTATAGTATGGGGTAAGGGTGTCAGTGTCCCAGCATCCCATGGGTTTGGAATTGGGAAAGCGAATCCTTTTCCCTTTTTCCCTTTCTCCAGTGATCAGGGTACAATGCATTGAATTCTAAAGTAGGGGTTTCATTACTTATTATTTTCAGCAGGAGGGCAACTGTTTTTCACAAGTGGGCACAATTTTTTGAACTGAACTTCTTTATAAGAAGACCTTTCCTCTACATGGTCAAACCAGGCAGGCAAAATTGTCTTCACACCAGGCTTTTAGCCAGGTGGCCCTCTGTCCATCCTGGGGACAGCCACTTTTCAGGAGAAAATAAATAAATAACGCAGAGATCTTGTTGATTTGCAGTCAGTGATTTCAAATAGTTTTAGAACTAAATCACTTGATTTCTATAGATTTCTTATTTCTACTTTAGTTTTCTTTGGTTACTTCAGTGGTGAATACCATGTAGTCTTTTCTCATTTGCATCCATGTAGAAGACATGGGTTACCAAACCGATTTTAAAGAAAGGAACTTCCTGTAACCAGCAAGAAGTTTTCCTACTCAGAAGTGCTTGTTGGTGGCTACATGAAGAGCTAACTTGTGAACCAGCACATGTTAGCAGGAGGTGTTAGCACAACCAAAAGCGTACTTCACACCCAGTCAATTTGCCCGGTGCTCCACCCTTGATGAAACCCCTGCTAAAGCAGTCAGACATAGCATGGGTTGAGAAGGGGAAGGTCTTAGGTAACAGTTCAATTCTTCAGGGAATTCATAGAAAAACTTGCTGTTACCAGATGACTTATCAAGCAAGGTTTCATGCATTACAAGTGTAGACAAACTAAAATTATACCAATAAAGAAGGAAAGGAAAACAACCAAAATGATGACATGTTGCTAATTTTAAAATCACCTTTGGTAGGGATGAAGTTGAACTTTTTAATAAGATTATGATGGATAATTCTTTCCCTCATTGAAACCAAGCCTTGGGTATTGCGACGAAACTTAAACCAGCCAATGACTTTCTGCAAATACAATTATACAAATGATAAATAAAATCAGTGTCCACTAAATGACTTCACTGTTAGTTCCACAAGCTATACAACAAGGTATGTAATCACTTTAAACTCTCAAAAATGTTGCCATCGATTGTTTAACAAAATGTGACAGCATTAATCAGGAGGCCATGTTAATGTTGTTTACTAATGGAGGATGACTGCAGTATTACAGAAGGTGAATGTATGTTAGTTGTGTTTATTGCTAGCAACTTTGAAAATATACGGACCATCTCTGAACAAGTAACTACGACTGCACCAGGCTACAAACATCAAAAATCTGCTAAAACCATACCTAGCACACTGCAAGATATCTGATTATAGTACTACTGCCGGTATATGAAATGTAAGCCCAAACATTTACAAACTTAATACCAATTTACTAAGTAGCCTTATGCTATGGCCAAGCATTAGGTTGCATATTTGTGCAAGTAGAATCTAGTACTAAGAAATCCATAATATTATAATTATTACTTACTTCAGTCTTTTCATTATCGTTATTGAGTTCCTCTGAAACAGTATCCTCAACTATATCGCCGACACCAGTGTAGAAACTGTTTAGAAAATCAAATTCAGATAGGTATTAAATTACTCTAATTCCATGTACATTTTCTGGATATAGTCAAACCTTTGAAGAATAGATGGGTGACTGATCAACACAGTAGACTGTTTAACTCAGGTTTAATTAATAATATGCTGATACACTGTATATCAACATAATTATTAAACTATTTTATTACATGGCTTGTGTTTGTAGCCAATATAACATGTGCTCTGATTGGCCAATTGTACGGCATTATTCTCCCCTAATGCCCATGAGCCGATTACGGACCTGCAAAACCAAAGTAAAAAGCCATATAATAATAAACTTATTCACCTCGAACATTCGGTCTTGGTCTGAGATTTTCCCGTGAAGACCTCACTCTCGGTTAATAAGTTGTTAATAATGTAATAATATTATTAATTGTTAATAATGTAATTATTAATACAGTGGAACCATGTTAATACGGACACCAAAGGGACATGATAAAGTGTCCGCATTATCCGGGTGTCTGTATTAAGCAGGCTAATTTAAGAGAAAATATATGAGCTTTTTAGTTGTCGGGACAAAGAAAACTGTCCATTAGAAGCAGGTGTCTGTATTAAGCGGGTGTCCGTAGAGTGGGGTTTTACTGTATGTATAAAATATAATAAATTACTGTGCATGGTAGCCTAATGGTTAGTGCATTTGACTCTAGTTTGTGAGGTCCAGCTACGTGAGGTGGGTTGGTTTAGCCTGAGCAAACAGATATTTCCTGATGCTCTTGGTCTTCTTTCCTTGCTTGAGAGACTTCAGTCACAGATTCAACACAAACAGTTCAATTCCAATGAAATTGCTCTACTAAGATCTGAGTATTGTCTTTGATTGGTGATAGATGTTGACTAAGTTTAGAATTTTCACATCAACTCAATAATCAAACTAGTATGCTTAGAAACATATTTTTGGCTAGTAGAGCAACAGGTCAAGTCTCAGATGTCTCTAAAAAAACAGGAATGATTGAATGTGCAAACACTGATGGCTGTCTGCTCAGCTAGAGTTATTGCATTGTTTTCTTGGGTAAGAAACTCAACTTGCTATGAGAAAAGACCTGCAGCAAGGGAAGGAACAGTTAATAATTTTGATCTCTTCCCAGATTTTGCATTTTTTTTGTATTTATTGTTGTATTTCACTTACAATAACAATCAAAATAACATGTGGGGGCACTGAAATGTATGGGTGTTATACCATCTCTCTGAGTTACAAAGACTTATGTTTGGTTGTTTAGGGAGGGAATGATTATGGATTGGCATACAGATCTGGATTTGTTTGTTTTTTTTATTATTTTTTTTTTTCAACAATATTTGGATTTGTTTTCTTATTTTTTAACAATTAGTATTTATATTTGCTTTTAGAATGTATTACATTTGTTATATGCACGTCTGAGTGTAATTTTTCCATTCAATGCTTAAAATTCCTGGCACAGGTCGCTATCAAGTTGATAAGTGATAACAAAATTAACTAAACCGTCCACTGGAGCACGATTTATCGAATGGATAGTGTTATTCATTCTTTGAAACCCAGACCCGTGCGTATGCAAGCTTTGTGTTGATCTTTTTTAGCAGAATACCGGTACTTGTACCACAACCGTAAGTTTTCAACATTTGGTAAACTTCTTATTGTTATACTAGGTTCCATTCCAGGTTTTAGATGAGCATCATTAATAAAGCTAACAATTTTAACTGACCTCTTCACCACATCACACTAATGTAAACTATGCAAGCTTATGCAATTAGTCACTTCCTGTATCCATACTTTCGCCTACCTATGCACTTTTCCAAAGGGAACGAAACCTTGAATTGCTGTAAACGAAGAACATTCAACTCATCATTAACAGAGGACACGATCCGTCAAGTGAAAGAAGAGAAAACAACGCAAACAAACGAAACACTTACTCGCTACTCGCTCGTGTGTCAAGTTTTCTGACTGCGAATCGGTGATAGTGTTGACAATACGGCTTGTGATCTGGCCTAATAAAAGCCCCTCCTAAAATAACAGGGTACAAAATAAGTCAAAATCAACACATTAAATCATTGAGATATTCAAAAGTGATTCACTTACCACGTCTCCCTCGCTATTTTCTAGTTCGTAAATCAACGAAGAGAACACACAACCGGATAAGCAAACCTCCATCTTGATTTTTGATGAATCCGCTGTATTCGATTTTTTGTCGCGGGCTCAGTATGGGGCCGGGAACTCGGGTAGGCCTGCCCAAGAACTCTACGGACTCAAAAAGAGGCGGAAGGGTGCCTGGACAAGGAGAAACTGGGGCAATATTTGCAGTTTGCGCTTAATATTTTACAATTGAAAAAGTAGCAAGAGATGGGGCCCATGAACATGGGGTTGGGTTTTAATAAAGGGTACGGGAAGTGAGAAGTGCAGACCTTCCATTTCTCTCCCCACAAGCACAGAACACCCAGACTCACAGCAGGAGGCAGCAGGACCGTTCTCCCTTGTGAAGATAACTTTTCATTTCATTATGCATTAGAACTGGATTGATGATCAACAGTCAGTTGGCTTTGTCGATAACGTTCAAACTTGGACTCCTGTTTTGACAATTTCTAGTTCAGATCTGGAGCAAAAACAAAGTTTGAAACAGCAATAACACAATTAAAAACGTCGGCGTTGGTTAACTTTCAATCCTCCTCTAACTGAGCCCGATTGAGTCAGATTGTAACCTTATTTTTAAAAGCAATCTGAAAAAATACAGCAAACTAGTCAATTTGTTTCCTGTACATGCAGGATAGAAGGAGTTGGTTATTGGAGATCGCTTTGATAAGATAAGGTTAAGGAGACCTTGTTTATTCAGGAGTTGCAGCCAGCATTGAACGTCAATGTCAGCAGTGAAAAGCTTTTACTATATTACTGAGGAAAGCTTTTTCATTGTGTCACTTCACAGACAGTTTCCGTTTGAAACGTCTTAATTTTTTACTGCAGATATTTTCTGTCTAGGTTCCACACCCCCAATGATACAGTATAAATAGCTTTTCAAAACATTTTAATGGTTATACTTTTGAAAATGTATATCGACTAGCATACAAGACGTCAAGTCTATAAAATGCATGTTTTCAAAAATGTTTTTCACCGCTGTTTGTGTTATATTTTTATTCAAGATAAGGTAAGTTGCCTATCTTATTCTGACAAGAAGAAGTTTTTCAAGATAATCTATTTAGCAGATAACAGTAACGTGAGGGGCGTGGAGTACCGACTTTTCCTCATATTTTCTTAAGTAACATTAAAAACAGGACTAGACATCGCTGCACAGAGTTAACAGGCAATTTCATTTCTCAATTACAGTACTTGTACACGTCAGAGACTTTATTTTGATTAATAATCTTTCTTACAATCGTAATATAATATATATGCCTCGATTTGAGGAATGTACAAATAAAGAAAACTATAACAATTTGACCTTCATACCAAACATATAAATTTGAGGAAGGAGTTTCGAGGTTATCCCTAGGTACAGGAAACTCCCCTAAAAAAATTATAATAATAGTTTTAAAAAAAGTATAAAACTGTGCATCATAGTAAATCTTCATTAATTTGCCACGCGGAGAACGTGACCATTGAAAATTATAATTTAATTTTAATTATTTTCTTAAAAGCACTCGTCTTGTTTTGTTCGCAAGTTTTCTTCCTTGTTACACGTCAATATGGATGCGTTTGTGGCGGTTCAGATTTCCCGATTGCGAGAACCGCTGATAACAAATATCGCACTGGTATGGTTTCTCACCAGTGTGCGTGCGCATGTGTTTGGTGAGCGTGGAGCTGTCCGCGAAGGCCTTGGTACAAACTCGACATCGGTAAGGTCGTTCACCATTGTGAGTGCGCATATGCGTGGTGACGGACGAAGACTGGGAAAATTGGCGGCTGCAGATGTGACACTTGAATGGTTTTTCACCGGAGTGGATGCGGAAGTGCGCTGTGAGATTAGCAGCCTGTGAGAAGGACTTCAGGCAGACCAGACATTGGTAAGGCTTTTCACCACTGTGCGTGCGCAGATGAAGCCTCAAGGTAGACAATCTCGCGTACGATTTTCCACACACGGGGCATTTCTTAGGGCCATCATCACGGAGGTATTCCCTGGAAGGTACTCTGGGGGACCCAATAGCAACTGGGTTTAAAAACTTGTGCATGTAGGGAGGAAATGATCGTAGATATGGAAGGCCGTTACCATACAGTACTGGAGCTGGTCCGAACGCGGGCATGCCGGTGTGCGAAGCTCCAGGCAGATACGGAGCCGACAGGGGTCTGGGTGGGAACAAGCCTTGGCCGTGATTGAAGTGGAGGAAGCCTGGGGGCAAGTGATGGACTGGATGAAAGGCAGACCGCCCCATTGTAGAATGATGCATCAGTGGAAACCTGACCAGGAACAAACACAAGGACATAACGACAAGGATATTACAAATATACAAACGCCTTATATTCAACGTCTCTAACCCTTACAATTTAGCGGTAGTCCGACCTCGAGATAGCAGTTCTCCGTACTGCTTGTCAATAGTCTTGGTAGAATTGAAAAATTAAATTAGAATTAGAAATGCACGTATTTCATTTTATTATTATTTTTTCCCAACTCCCCTGTAGCTGGGAAAAAAAATTGAATGGTACAACTAACGGCCTCTCTTAAAGGATTTCTGCTGAAGTCGACAAGATCAGTGTCCTGAAGTTCAAGTAAATTAACTAACTTAAGAATAATCTGAGGACTACGAAAGTGATAAAGCGATACAATAATTTCACTTGAAAACTCTTTCTTTCAGGGTGCGAAATGGTGTGACGTAGAAAAGAACACATGAATCGATGTTACGTAAGTGTTCGGTACTGTTGCATCAGTGTGACAAGTCGAGGTTTGGCCAAAATGTGATTCTGACTCCCTTTCCATTCGCTGGCGGGATTAAATCAAGAATTTCGAGAGGAAATATTTACTTCAAACCAACTGAAGCCGGTCTGTTATTTCACGAGAGATTGTCCAGGCACTTAATGACTTTGTGTTCCCACAGGAGAGAATAAAAGGACTCTCGGTTCGCGTACTTGAAAGTTGTAACTAGAGTGCAGCTTATCAAATCTTGTTACCTCGATCGAATTTGAAAACCTCGTCGATATATAAAAGTGACTACTGCCATCACTATGTAGTGGAAGGTTGCCGTTAAGTTACTAAGCTGAATAAATTGTTATAGGTCATTTTTGATGAAAGAGTGGATAAGCTAATCACATTTGAGAACTAATTACAATTTACTTCTCCTCATTACTTCACTCAATATTTCATAATTTGTTTTTAAACTGTGTGTTGAATAATCTCTCTTCTGGCGGAGTGTGATGCAGGACCTATAAGAGCTCGGTTAAATTTATGATCGCAACATTTCTAGTCGCTAGCTTCGTGCTACGTACTGAAATCGAAACTGATCGGAGTCGGAGGATATGGGCGTTCGCTCTTTGGTTGTGAAAAAGACTAATTATAAGTTCAGTCTCTGATATTTTTTCCTGCCGTTTTCGTGATAAACTGCCTTATTGCATTGGTGACCGAGATTTGTCCATTTTTTCAATGCTACCTAAACTCAAAAGGAATCGGAAAAAAATATAAAGATAACTTACGATGAATTTGACCCTCCGTTGACCGAAAACACGGGACCAACAGCAGTTTGACGATCTGTTCCTCTTTCTGAGTCCAGATTCTGTTCCTGTATGAGCGACTGGGAATTCTTGGCGGTGATCGCTTGTTCTTCACTTTTGGAACTCATCTTGGGAGATTTTTGAAAATTCTGTTTAGAAATGAATTGGTCTCAAAGTTAGGGATAAAATCATTTATTGCAACATCGAAAACCGTCAAACTCTTTACCATTTGGTTTTCCTACGAAAGATATTCACTGATGTTTCATTACACTTCATTTTTCAGTTGTTCCTGGTTTTTCAAAGGAGCAGATGATAAAGACTTGAATGTATCTGACATATTGCGCTCTAGCTTCAACATCACGAGTTTCTAGATTTGTACAGAACTCAAGCGAAAAATACTGCGAATTTACTTTACCTGCAAAGTAACATGACTGCCACAGCTAGACCGAATTCTTTTGAGATGGTCTAGGGCCCGTTTGAACGAACTAAAAACACAATCTCCTACAACATGCTGCCATCTTTTACAGCCGTAACGAATCACTTACCAAAACTTAGTTTCACTTCAGTTTTATCTTGGTACCGTCTCAGCGCTGACTGTCTTCTTGAAGAACGCTTGCCCCAATACACTTGGGCAAACTTTGTCCAGGAACTCTGCGTGCTCAAAAGATTTAACGGAGCTTGCGGAAGGTATAGTGGACTGAAATAAACAGCCTTTACACCGGAATATATAGCGAGCTAGCACCGTAGCGGCATTATACAGTCATTTAGCTATTTAACACATCCTCTTTCGGAGGTGCATAATATAAAAGGAAATTAACAGATAATGCCCTTAACCGACTAATTAGTGAGTGTACAAAATTCCGGCCCTTCTTAATTCGAACCAAATTGCAATTGATTTGTTTCAATGGAAGTGTTGCCATGGACATTTAAAACTAATACTGGATGTTTGATGGTGGGGCATGACCGCTCATTTCTTAAACCCGCCTTGTTCCAGCACTTGGCGAGGTATAAAAATATCTAAGGACCAGCATTCTGAGAGGCAGCGAGGCCGCCCTAATTTTTATGATTTCAACGGAAACATGGCCGGCTCCCACGATCGGTAGCTTTTGTTGTATTATACCCAGTGAGACGAAAACTAACATGCGGCCAGAAAAAAAAAAACACTTTAGTGGCTAGCCTGTATGCTAATTTCTTTCGTATCTTCATGCAGTTTGTTTCCAACTCTTTGTGGAGTAAGTGCAACTTGAAACAATGCGTTTGACCTGAAATTTCGATTTGTGGCCTCATAAAACAAGGCTTTTCAACTCAAAGGGGGTTAATTAAACTGTTACAAATCGTCATGATAAATAACGCGACATGGCGTGGTATTCCCTTGGTGGAATACCAGTTTTATTGACCTCATCAAAAAAAAAAAAGATTTCAGTAACCTGACATCTCCTGTTGAATCGTACGATTTCTGAATTGAGAATTGAAGAAATTATAAGACTAGCATACAGTTGCCCTACTTCAGACGTGATTTACACGATATGATAACTCAAACAAAGAAGACAACACGAACACATTGTCCCACTGCTAAACACAAGTGGCAGAGGAAAAACATGATAACAACAACTTCTTTAACAGAATGTACCGTACTTTTTAATCAATAGACCACAAGTAGCGAGAACATTAGCTTATGATACTTGCCCGTTAAATCGAGATAGAAGTGATCACAACAAACTCGCTACTTTTGCCAACCGGGTGATAATTACGTAGCATATTGTTTAAACGTGATGATCAAACACGTGTCCAAGATAGCACGCGCCAACGATTTAACTGAATTCTGGCTCGCGATAAATAAATAAACAATGATTTGGCCCTTTCTTAACTATTATTAGCTTTGTGATTTTTTTTGCCAAGACTTATCATTTGTGTCAGCTTGGTCTGAACGAGACAACAGAGATAACGTGTTAGTCCTGATAGAATTTGTCGCCTTTTCACCTGCTCGAGTCGGAGCAAACATGGTGGATGGCATTTGGTTACAACATAAGGTTGTCCTGTTTTAAGCTTTTTATATGTATTTTCAAAGCTTTTCCGTTAGCGGTATACGTTTCCTACAGCGTAAATAGCTAAATTCTAATATCTATGCTTATTTTAATATTTGAATAGGCTAAATGAAACCTGTCTAAAAATCAAATGGACAAATTGAGAAAGTCCTGGCAGTCTTTGTGAAGCAAATTATCCACGTCCGTTTTACCCTCAAACCTCCAGAAAAAAAGCCCCAAATTCAATCAGTAAAATGAACACATGGGCTGAACTTTTAAAGTGCTTTCAACACGAAGAAATCAAATCTACCATTAAACAAAATCAATGTTTGCCGTGGTCTTGCAGGAAATTCCAATTGTTATGGAAGGCCTCTGCCAAGGCATAAGCGAAATTTGATGTTTTTTTTGTTGCTTGTGTGTCAGTGATTTTACTTTGCTGTGTCCCTTCACCAACCTCAAATACTTTTTCTTTATCTGCAGTAAACATCCGCAAGTTATAATACGTTTCAAACAACATGTAGTGCTTGGTTTGTTTGTTTGGTATTCTGTTTCCACCTGAGTTTGAAGCGTTATGTTACTGCAATCACTCAGTTCAAGTGAAACATTTGATGACTTCAAATTATAGGAAGTAGAGTGAAATTTTCTTTCATCAAAAACTAGTTAGATCTGCTTTAATTGCAGGGAGAATGGAGCTGTAAATGCCGGGAGAAAAGTTATTTTTTGCGTTTGTCAGCAAGGCCAGAAGAGCTGCCAGCTGCACCTTGTTTAACTCAGATTTTACAAAATAAACTTATTCGTTGGAGAAAAGGCGGTTACTGGTTTGGTGCTTAATGAATGACCCGGTTTAAAAGGTTTGTGGTTTTCATTTCAATTTAGTCGTTGAGAGAGATAAAATAAGACATCCAAATCCAAGCAATACCTATCCATGTACCTTGGTGCGTCGTAAGCAAGGTACCTTAATATCTACAGATCATACTTTTAGGCATTAAGCTGGCTAAATTCAAGCCGGTAAATTTAAAACATTTAACAAAACGTGAAAAAAGAGAAAATAGTTGTCGATATAAGCATGTAAACATCTACTGCTTATTTTTTCGTAGTCATGCTTTGTATCCTTTCAGTGTCTTCACGTAGAGTATGCCCATCACTTCAATTAGACACCTGAAAATCAAAAAAAAAAGAAAGAAAGAAAGAAAGAAACATTGCAGTTAGTTCATTTATCAGCACTGATGTATGTTTTTCTCAGGAAGTAACTGACCAGGAAAACTTGAAGAAAGGCTCCCATTCAGAATTCACATCAAACCCAGCTCGCTCACGTCTCAGATAGAACGACACACAAACATAAATATACCGCCATACTCAGCTTCAAGCCCGGGACAAACTAAGATTGCTTCTCAAAAGCTGCCATTTTTAAAACGAGCCTCTGCCTTTCTTCCAAATCTGTCCGGAGCGAGTGCAAAGTAATTAAGCGAGCAGCGAGAGGGCTAAGAGTAAAGAGCGACGCGCGGGCAAGGACGCAGTCCAAAAAGTTATATGACCTTTATCACACTCAGTTGAACACATATAAAAGAAAATACTTGAAACTTCCCCCTATTCCTCTAAAGACTAATGCCGTTTTTAGAAACGATAAGAACCAAAAACTTTTAACCTTACATATAATTCAGCAGAAACCTGAATTTCAATGACGACACCTAAAGAGTAGTCTATGTGCCTGCATGTTCTTGAGCCGGTTTTCCCAAGCTACAAGATTATTCGATTTGAAATTTACCTCCCATAAAAAAAATACTCAAAAATGGGAATGGTTAACCCTTTTTTCAATCGTCGTTCATCGCGCCCGCAGTTCTAACATTTCAGAATTACAAGATTTTACTATAGTATTCTGATATATAACGTAATAAACACTGTGACATTTTAAGTGTCCTCAAAAAGAATTTCAGTTATTTTGGTTTTTTGTGTGCGACATTTAGTTATGGAGAAATCTGAGGGAAAAGTAGTCTTACGCAACAACATGGACAAAACAAAGATGATGCGCGCGAAAAAATCGTGTTGTGTCATGAGCTGATCTTCTGGAGTCAATTTGTTGATGACTATGAAGATAAAATTTGTCCTCAAGGATATTTTTAACTAATGAAAAACCAGTGTGAGATGAAAGAAAAAAAAGCAAACGTGCGATAAAACTGTTGAAAATTTACAAATACAACAACTGAGTTACGAGTTAATTGATACAATCAAGTGCCGCAGGTCGGACGTAACGTGCTCTATAACAGTGGTTCAAAACTTGGGCTGACTTTCCGCGGTAACTAAGTGCAAGACTCGAAGCGCTACAGTGACTTGGGAGCGAAACAAGCGCTCTCCGCCAGATGAAGAGTCCCAACCCTCCGGCTTCACACAACCGCCAAGTTCTTTTTGGGATGGCAGATTCGCATATACACCAATTTCACCAATTTCACACTAGACTGAGGACTTTCTAAAAATGTAACCCCATGTAAACCCTCAAAGGAATCTCTTTGAAGCTAAATTTTGAAGATCGCCTGGTGACCTTGGTCAAGACACGGCTTGAGCTAGAATGAATAGAATTGCCCAACAATTTAACTTCATTGAAACAGTTTTGAAAGACGTCTCGTAGCCATGTGTTGTCGAATTTACAGAGAAAAGGTCTATAATGAGAAACCCAGCAAACAGGCTTTGATTATTCCAAGTCTGTTAGCCTCTCGATCCAGTCAGTTAGCACTTGCTCCACTCTAAACAAAATATACTAACCTTCCACCTCTAGCTGCTTAATGACAGAGACAACCTCTTTGAAACGGTGCATTATTCCAATTTATTTTACCAGCAGAAAAAAATCCTAGGATACTGCGACGTGTTCGCAGTTCAACGAAAGACAAGGATTATCAGGGCTTCGGAAGTATAGGCTTAAATCCTTTATTCATTGTTGAAAGAGATCAGTTGTTTTGTTCGCCACGCTTCCCAGCTTAGCAGACTGAAATGCGCTTATTAGAAAAGTTGTTATTAGATTAAAAAGGTTGTTTTCTTGTGTAATTGCTGTCTCGTCTTGAAGAATTAGCAAGAAATTGCTTTTGCAGCGTACCCAGAATAAAGCCGTTTTTGCGGTCGAGAGGAATAGGAAGACTTTAATTGTTATCAACTCGTGCGACGAATTATCATTCATTGTACTAAATTGAGGTCAAGGACTTTTCAAGAGACTAGCATTTTCAAGTAAACTTGTAACAAACTTATTTCTCCTGTTAAAATAAGCCAACCTGAGCGATTCGTAGCCAAATTAACTGAAATACTTGAAAACAACGAGTACAAACTTTATGATAAGTGAAAGTTGTAAGTTAGCCAACTGCCACTTGAGTTTGGTTTTCATTCTTATTTCACAATGAGTTTACTTAGAGAAAGAAAACACTTTTTTGGATGCTTTCAAGTCCATATATGTGATAACGTTCACCGTCGATGAAAAACGTTTCAAAAGTGGTCAAAAGCTATTTCTAAGACATCAAATGCGGTTCCAATAACGGCGAAGTTATTTACTGGAAAGGGACAAAATCTTAACCAAGAGTGGCAAACGGTCATTAGCGCGCTAGTCATACACGTGCTAATGTAAAGTAACGAAACCGCTTTCATTGTGAAAAGAACCGGACTTAATAGCCTTGTGTGTTAAACAATATTGAATCGCGTTGTGTATTGACAGTAAGGGTTCATTGTTTGTTCTCTTTTACTGCCAGAAGAATACCCTCATTTGCATCTTCTGTTCAATGCTGGTATAGTCAGTGTGTTTAACCAAGAAATGCCTTACTGTCTTTCGCAGGGTAATCAAAATTAATTGATTACATGGCAAACATTAAGGGGTCATTTGGCTGAAAGAGCACTGTCAAATTAGCCGGTGATCGGAAGAAAATGCAATTTTCTGTGAATAATTAGGTACCCGTCAGTCTTGTATTTTTGTTTTTGTTATTTGTTTTTTGCTAATTTATTTTGCTTTGCTGCCTCTGTTCTAACTAGGCCTTGCCACAAGTTGCTCGGCAACTTTTTGGCAACTTTTCGTATTTCGAGCAACTTTTTTTGTTTCGAGCAAGTTTTTGCATTCTGAGCAATTTCTCGTTTTCTAGATATCGGAGCAGCTTTTAGTGCTTTAATTAGCCATGCTTGCATATTTTACAATGTTTCAGTAGACAATTTGTGAATTTCTTTAATTTTTGTTAAATTTTTTAATATTTTTTTTAACATTTTTTAATTTTTTCTTTCCAATTTTTTTAATTTTTTTAAAATTTTTTTAACAACTTTTAATAAAAAAATTTAAAAAATTTTGATATTGATGCGTAGTATTAACTCATACGTATTGTGAACAAATTGATTTAGCGACGCTGGTTACAATGCAAAATTGCACAAAAATGCTTAGAAATGTTACTTTTGTTGTACAGATTGCATATTTTTGCATCAGACCAAATAAAAGAAGAGAGAAATAAAAAAAAGTTTTTGCTTTTTTTAGCAACTTTTGTGCAACTTTCGTTACAAAAAGCAACTTTTGACTTTTTTGGAGCATTTTTCGAGCAACTCTTTGAGAAATTTCGGGCAACTTTTCGGGAAATCTCGGGCAACTTGTGGCAAGCCCTAGTTCTAACGCGGGGAAGGTCTTGTTGCTAAACTGAACGCTTTGCGGTTTGTCTGTGTTTCATGTCCACATGTGAAACAAAACTGCAGAAACCTGTCTACATCGCAGAGGCCACATTACAGTTGGCCTCGGTGCAATTTTTGATGAAACTGGGTCAGGTTTTCTTATGATGGCTGGAGCGGCGAGCAGTTCTTCTTTTCTCTTAAAATTGACGCGGAGCAAAGAAGTATCAAACAAGCGAGAGGACTTAAGTTACTTTTCTCTCCCTCTTTTTTTCTTTCTTCGCTTCTCGCTGAACGGGATAGAGAAAAGAGTTGAGAAAGAAGGACATGGGTACTATCAATTAGTCGCAAAGAAATTGAAAATCTTGACTTATGATTTATTATCATGAGTGTGGGCCAACCTTGAAACGACATTATTTTTGCTCGTCTAGTACTTTTCAGAATTAAAATTCTGATTTGTAACAATAATAACACAATTAAATTTATTTTCTGGCCCGAAGATTAGATTAAGATTAGGCACAGCTGGGTGACATTCTGTAACAAACGGCAAAATTATTTTGCGCATTTTTTGTTTAATTTGTAGAGCCCACATTCTTTCGCTAAATTTAATTTCTGAGAGAATATTGTCTCAGAGGTCATCTGGGTACCCTCTGTCGCACAAACTGCGTTTTGAATTGTGTAATGTTTTCTTCAAATGTAGCTTTTGAAGAGTTGGTTCTCAGAAGTTATAAGGGGGCTTCGCCTTTGACAAAGCCTTTCCTGATGCCTGGAGGGTGGCAGGAGGTAAAGCGTGTGTATTAGAAAGTTTCTGTCTGTTTGAAGTGCGTTCGCACGTCAAGGAAAGGTTCCTTCTTAAATCTTTCGTCCTTGTATACGCATGTATCCAGGAAATGTATTTCTGTATCTGCAATTCCAGCCGTGAATTTTATGGTTTGTTTATTTCCTCTTTGTTTATATTCCATAAAGAAAAGACATCGCCGATATATCTTTTCCAAGTGAGTTGCTTTATATGGCTCTCGGGGGGACGGGGGAGGGTACTCCCTTATATGGGCTATATAGGTATGTTCAGCCCCAAATGAAGACTCTCGAATTGCATTATCCAATAACCCAGTTTTAAATAAAACAAGATACGTGTGGGCTGACCCTGAATGTTGGAAAGCCATGGATGATCACGATAAAAACATAACACATACTGGGAAATCAGTTTAGTTTCTCAACAGAAATGATGATTACAGGCGTTGATTTGGTGAGAAATTTTGTTCAAATTTTGCCTCTTACCAGTGTTTTAGCATCCGTAGAACTCACTATGGTTCATCCTAGTATCAGGGTAACCCAAGCGGCCCTGTAAACACGTCGATTGAAAAAGCAGCCGCGTGTTAGTGCTAAGATAACTTTACCCAGAACGTACTGTGTAAACAGGATATATAGCAGTTCACTGTCGACAAAGCCTCATAGAGCCAATAGTTGACGGTTTGTTACATCTTTCTGAAACCTAACTGTCAGACAACTATAAATGCTATAATTTCATTATTTGGCTTTTTGTGTTTTGGTCTCCATGCATTATGCGTTGTTTTCTTGAGGATCGTAGAAGTGTGCTGCCTATCGGCGGGTCCATGGATCCCGGGATCCACAAAAAAATCAAGCTTTTCCTAAGTCAACTTGTCGCTTTGGTTTGTTCTTAGAATTGAGTTAAAAAATATAGGGAATCTCTTTTTTCATTTCCACAAATTAGGAATTTAAAGCACTCGTGGAATTTTCCATTCAACCTTAAATTCAGAAAATTTGGAAATGGGGACAAAATAGTACGGAAATTTCCTGGGAAATTTTCTTAAGTCTCCAAAACCTCCGGAAAGTATTGAATTTTCGCAAAGCGAACCGTATTTGAATTTCCGGAAAGCAAACCATATTTGAATTTCCGCGAAGCGAACTATTCAACCGAAAATTCCGAGAACATTTGGACATACCTCGCGAGGTTGTCCTTGTGTTTTTAAATGCTGTTCCATTCGTCAACGGAAATTTCCGAAAATTCAAACCAGAATTTTTCATGGAAAGCGCCATTGGTTTCAGTCTGGTGCGTACTTTTGTAATTGTGTTTCTCATTCCCATGTAGTGATTCTCATTAGCATATAAAAAGCGGGTGACACGAATTCACTCTAATAGATTGCTTGCGTGCAAATGTTCTCTTCACGTCACGGACATGACACCGAAGTCATGTCAATCACGAATGATATACTGTATCAACTTTCCTCCAAGATCAGGCTCTCTAAATCCGTTAGCGTAACTAACTGAGGCTATTAATTGGCTCTCTACAAGATCTCAAGGTGGCTTCCTTCTTGTCCTTGTTGTTCTATATGTTTCTTATGGTTCCTGCCAGTCCAGTGATGAGCAAGGCTGACTATCGGTCGGTTATGCCAGCTGAACGAATCTGCAAACCAGGGCCGCCATTGAAAGCAACGATTGGAAAGACGAACTGTCTTGTTATTGGTGATTCCATCAGCAATGGGTAGGTTATACTGAGATTCTTATTTTGTGGAACCATTAAGGTCGCCTTCATAGTCTTCATAGAAATGAACCCACGTATCCCTGTTGCGTAATGTTGTTTTTAGCCCTGAGAATTTCCTTTTTTTACTAGAATACCGAGCCTTGATCTGGGCCGGAGTCGTCCTGCGATGCTGGCAGACATGTCGCTCTAAAAGTAGTCAAAAATAATATTAAAAGATAATAATAAATATACCGACGAAGTAGATTGTCTGTGACGCAGTCTAGGGCCTTTCGCGAGGTCAGAATTATGACCACGCGCGTCGTACAAAATGCTGCATGCCACCACTAGGTTTTCTATCAAAATAAGAAGAGAAAAACATTCAATATTCATCATACTCTCGTTAAATTTTCCGTACATGTTTGGACTTCCTTGAATCCAATTTATTTGCTAGGCAACTGGAAACCGAAGGATCCACTGTAATTGGCTGGGCTGTAGTGGTCTCCCTGCCTAATAAAACCTTCATGTAGATAAGTGTTTTAGTTAGGCGAATTTGAATAAATAAAATGTTGCGGATGATTGAAAAGGTGGATGTAAATGATGGTCACGCAGGACAGTCTAAGTTACATTGAACATTTCTCTTAACTTGTGATCAGGCCTACTTTCCGCCACCATCGCTCTCAGCGCCGTAAAAAATAGAAAGCCTGATTGCGTGCGGGTTACACCTCTTTCAGCAGGTTACTACTGCCGCGTGTCCACTTTCTCACTTCAGGGTTAAATCAGGTTACCATATAATGTCGACACTCTTTTTCATAAGAATATTGTTTTCCCTGCCCAGGATGAATATTCTTATTTTTCTGCCGATTTTAGGCTGAAAATATTCTTGAGAATATTCATAGATTATAACGTATGTCTGTTTTTGAATGTATTCGGTGGCTGGATGGTGTTTAAATTAATTTGGAGCCAGCCTGTAGGCATCAAAGCCTGATATGACGTACATACCTTCTTGCAGAAATATTGTAAGCATCGAACGAACGGGTTGACTTTTGGCTAGTTGTGCCGTTTACGTAAGAGAAGAATTTTATACGGCTTAGTTAAAGACATAAGTAATTGTTTTGTATTTCAAATTTTCAACACACAAAATTGTATTCTTTTCAAAATCTCAGCCTAAGGTTTAATAATAATAATAATAAATAATAAAAACAATCTTTAAAGAGGAAGCGCCAGTCACGTAAATACGTGGTTTTCAAGGAGGTCCTCTATAAAATAAAAAGTATTAAAATCTAAAATAAGAAATACAAGTATCACAGATCTAAAATATAAAATATACAATAATTAAAATTACTAAAACTACCAAAACTACCTACTGTCATTTTTTCTAAAAATGTTTATCCATTAAGAACGTTATAAGGTTTATTCTTAAAAATTTCTTAAAATTTGGCAAATTTCAGCCTCGATATTCTTATAACAACTATTCTTATAAAAAAACAGTTATTTTCAATTGTGCTGAACATACCATCTCTAAATGCATCTAACATACGAGGAAAGTTTACTTTTATAATCCACTAAGGCCTGCTCAGTCACTTACAAAACACGATTTACGTTTAGGAAAACCACTGAATACTAATTGTGCTCTGATCTTCGATCATGTTCCAGTTACACTCCGTGGGTCGCCAGAATGTTAGGTGATGACTATCAAGTCCAGCATGCTCCTTGGGACAGACGAGACGGAGGAGCAAAGGACTCTGCGTATGGTCTACAATGCCTGGGCTTGTTTCTGCAGACCGCCATGTTAGAACCAACAAGATATGATGTTATTATCTTCAATTTCGGTATGCATGATATAAACTATAACGGCAAATGGTCAGCGGAATACATCACACCAGCTGAGTATGCTAAAAATCTAAGAGCTATAACATCAATACTGTTATCAACTGGGGCTAAGGTAGGGTACGTTCTCACAACGCCGGTGCCTTGGAATGCTACGCTGAATGATCGCGTCATACAGTACAACAACATAGCACGTGGTATGATGAAAGATAATCCAACTGTGGCTACCGCTGACTTGTACACCTGGGTGATCGAAGTCTGCGGAGTTCCGCCTTATTTCAACTGCATTATCGCTGGCAAGCAGCCGAGCCCGCACTACACTGCACAAGGATATGAGTACTTAAGTGAGAGGGTAAAAGATCTAATCAAAGATCTTACTCCAGAACGTGATGAGAGTCCTCGCTTTTGGAAAAGACAAGAATTATTTGTGAGTATTCTTTCAGGGTGCTTCATGGCTAAAACCACAGCATGTATTCGTGTAATAGGTTAAATTAACGCTGCAGCTCCTCTCGCTTATAGTGCCAACTTAGCATCAGGGCAGTCACTTCCCAGCTTGTGCAGCAGATCCGGAAATTCAGAGTCCCGTCTTCAGTTTTATTTCACATTTCTCGTTTGTGACGCGAGTATACTCGTACCTTTTCATTAATAATTGTTAATAGCACTATGTAGCTTAGCAATTGCGAATTACCTTATTCCCCGGGGAGGGAGGGGCACTACCTTATAGAGGCTATATAGTTATATGCGGCTCCAAAGGGTAGGGTTTTTCCGCCGTTTTGGTCATAAATAGGGTATCGATTTTGGCCATTTTGGTTATAAATAGGGTATGGTTTTAGCACTCTAGTCTTGAATTGGGTATGTTTCCTAGAAGAAGTTACTTTTTCATCATTATCAATAAGACCGTCAACAAAAGCCCTTCATAACTTATGTTTAGGGCAACTGTGCCAGCTGCAACGCTCATAAATAGGCTATCGAATTTTTGGTCAGGTCATAAATAGGTTAAGGGGTTTGGGAAGTGGACCGCACACCCCCACCCAACTTTTCTGGAAGTACCCCCCCGGGACCTTATTAACTCGAAAAAAGAGCCTCAGCGATTACTAAATTTTTCGACAGTTCCGATGCGGTGCTTATTCAAGGGCTGCGCTTTTTTAAGACTAATTATGGGAAAGTATACGAATAGAGCGGTTTTCAATTAAGCGTCGTAAAACCATAACCAAAGTAATCACTCTAGTCAATCACAAAAGACACAGACAATACAGTGAGCCAATCAAAACTCGAAGTTATTGCGCCTACCTGACGTGAAGCGCAGGAAAACGTATCATGATTGGTTTTGGTTTTATTTGTGATTGGATGCAAAAGTAGCGCGAGTTTTTTCAGCCAATTATCGGGCGTAGTAAGTGCAAAATCAACTACGTCTCTACACTGAAACGAAAACCGATCTAATGCATAACAAGTCTTAGTTTCATCAAAACTGTTAGTTGAACAAAAAAAAAAAAAAAAAGGCATCCAAAACGCACCAAAATGCCGACGGCACTCTTTTTTCATATCGCTGTCGAGTGACTCCATCTTTACTGTCCTTCAACTCGGTCCAATTAGTTGTAGCCCAGTCCAGTTTGTGTGCTTCAGCCTCAATCGATCTTGGCCCTGACTGGGTTACCTTTTCTCTGAGGTGTTCAACGAAGGGCATACTTGGTCACATTGGCAAAAGCCGTTCTGAGAGTATGACCAAACCAGCGCCATTTGGTCGAGTGACAATTAAGGCGTCTTCAAAGCGGGCGCTGCCTAATAACCCGTTTCCGAGTTGCTTTTTACCTCTTTTTCAAGACGAGTCCTGGTGCACAACCTTTCATATGGAAATGAGTTTGATTTGCAAGACAATGAACGAGCAAGAAAATTTCATTTTCCATATGAAATCATTTTGTGTACCAAGAATAGTTTTAAGAAAGAGCCAAGAGCAACTCGGAAATGGTTTATTAAGGGCTGCGTTGTTGTACAGCGGTGCGGCGCATAATCGCAAGGGGGACGCGTTTTCTAGTAAATACCGTACCCTAACTTTTTCGCCGGAATCTCTCTTTCTTCCAGTGGTCAAAGAGAGAAAATCCAGTTCCCTGCAAGAACAAGTCTGGCGATGTGGTGACAGTGTGTCCATATAACAGCACGTGCTGTAACGAAAGGTATTCCGTAACAGGACAAGGATGTTGTCTCACACCAAACGCCGTCCCGTGTGGGGACGAGTTGCACTGCTGTCCCGCAGGTTACAAGTGTGATCCGGCCTGTTCAAGATACGAGTGTTCCTGTCAAGAGACGCGATGAACGACGCATTGGAAAAGGCTGTTGTTTGTCAAGTTTGCTGCCTGACTTGTCAAAATGATCATAATTTTTAACATAACTGAAATAATAAAAATGTTCACTTGCTTGTTCTTATAGTTTGTTTGTCGGTTCACTTGGTTCATCGACTGGTTCGCCGTTGTCACGTGGTTCTCTTCCCTAGTTACTTGTTTTACCTGCTGGTTGACCTGGTTCAACAGCTAGTTCAACACGTGCCTCACGTTGCTCACGTGGTTCACTTACTGGTCCACTTGGTTTATTTTGCTTCGTATGCATGGTTTACCTGATGCATGTGCTTGTTCTCATGTTTCTTCTCCTAGTTATAATAATAACTTTATTTAAGTGTTAGTTCACGTCATTCAGCTGCTGGTGCCTTTAGTCTTCGTTCTGGTTCGCTTGCCTCACCTGCCTGCTTGGCTCTCTTGGTTCATTTGCTGGTTCACTTGGTTCATTTGCTCAACCAAGTGAACCAGCAGATGAACCTAGTGAACCAGCAAGTGAGCAAAGTGAGCCAGCAAGAGGAACCAAGTTTTCTAGCAAGTGAACCAAGTAACTAAGCGAACCAGAATTTAAGCAAATCGATTTTCGCCTTTGGCATTAACTTAGTTTATTCACTTCTGACAAAATCATTCCTTACATCAGAATCCAAGACTCTTATGGTAAGCACAAGTCTCTTAGTTTGGAGCGCTGTTAGTTTTGCTTTTTGTGCTCATGGTGACGTCTAAAAAATCGAAAAATACTCAGACGTTTTCCTTTGAGCGCTCGCAGATTACTTTCGTTCTCAGCGCGCGCGTGTGAACTCAGTATGGTAAACCTTAGTCTCAGGGTAACCCAAGCAGCCCTGTGAACACGTTGATCGCGATACTGAGAAAAAGCAGCCTTGCGAGTGCTATGATAACCTTACTCAGAACCGAGTAAAGACTACCCAGAACATCACCCAGAACGCACTGTGTAAAGAGGATACACAGCGGCTCACTGTAGACATCGAGCCAAAGAGGCAATCGCCGAAGGTTTGTTTTGTAAGACGTAACCATCAGAAAAGTGTAAATTTTATAATTTCAATATTCGTCTATTTGTGTTTTGGTCTCCAGTGTGCGTTGTTTCCGTAACGATGGTAGAAGTTGAATTGGGTATGTTTTCTAGAAGAAGTTACTTTTTCATCATGTCAATAAGACCGTAAACAAAGTCCTTCATTAATTTTGTTTACGGCAACTGTGTCAGATCATAACAAGGGTATAGGGAAAATTGCGGATTTTGGTCATAACGAGGGTAAGGGCCCGGGGTAAGGGTTTTGGAAAGCGGGCCGCATTTACACCCCCACCCAATTTTTCTGGGAGTCCCCCTTCGGGAAGTTTGTTGCCTACCCTAGTATGGATATTATCTAAAGTGGGTCATTATCCAAAAAAGATGTCCACGGATCCACGAAAGAGTCGTATTCTTCCAGCCCTTCTTAAGTCAACTTGCCGCTTTGATTTGTTCATAGAATTGACATAAAAGATATCGGAGCTCTCTGTATTTCCACAGGACTTGTCAGTTGTGAGTTGAGGCCGACTCTAATAAAAAATAAAGCAAAGTGGTAGCTTGCGTGCAAATCATTCTACGGACATGAAACCGGAGTCATGTGGGGGTTAATGAAATCACATGACAATCACGGGTTGCGTGTTGTTGAGAATGATATATCAACTTTCCTTTAAGATCAGACTGACTCTAAGTCCGCTAGCGTAACTGATAGAGGCTAGAAACTGGTTCACTACAAGATATCAAGATGACTTTCTTCTTGTCCTTGTTGTTCTATATGTTTCTTATGGTTCCTGCCAGTCCAGTGGTGAGCAAGGCTGACTATCGGTCGGTTATGCCAGCTGAACGAATCTGCAAACCTGGGCCGCCATTGAAAGCAGCGACTGGAAAGACGAACTGTCTTGTTATTGGTGATTCCATTAGTATTGGGTAGGTTTCACTGAGATTCTTATTCCGTGGAACCGTTAATTACACAATGAATGGGGATGTGCCATCATTGACTTATTCCGGTCGCCCACATGAACAAGATCTCCGTTGCGTGATGTTATTTTTCGTTCTGGGGATAAAAGACCTTAAAATATCTCGTAATTTCTTTATTTTTGCAGAATACCCAGCTGTGGTTAGAATATTGCGCTTTCTCACTTCTTGGAGACTCACGTCTGCGATGCAGCCGAACATGTCGCGCTAAAAATATACTAAACTTAAAAAATAAAAAATATACCGTTGGTGTAGACTGGTCTGTATTAAACGCAGTCTGGGGCCTTTTGCCAGGTCAGAATTATGACGTGCTATATGCAAAATCTAACCAGTAGAGAGATCGCTGCATGTAACAGTGTGCAACCGCTAGGTTTTTTGTAAGGAGAGAAAAATATTCAGTAGTAGTCATATTTTCGTTAAATTTTCTTTGCTTGTTTGAACTTTTTTGACTGAAGTTTTTATAGGACTTTTTACTAGTTTAAATGATTTTAGATTTCTCCATCTAATTTAATATCTTGGGAACTGCCGCGGATCATTGACAGAGAGGGTGGATGTAAATGATGGTCACGCATGGCAGTTAACGTTACATTGAACATTTCTCTTAACTTGTGATCTGGCCTACTTTCCGCCACCGTCGCTCTCAACGCCGCAATAAATAGAAAACGTCATGGCGGGTTACACCTCTTTTAGCGTGTTGCTACTGTCGCGTGTCCACTTTCTCACGCTCGGGAAAACAATGGGCGCCTCTAAACAAAGGGTTAAATCAGGTTGCCATATACTGTGGACCAAGGCTTTTAGAAAGTTATTTTCAATTGTGTTGAGCATACTATCTCTAAATGCATCTAACATACAAGGAAAGTTTGCTTTTATAATCCACTGAGGCCCGTTCAGGAGGTCACTTACAAAATACGATTTATATGTTTAGGCATAGTTTCCTATGCTTTAGGAAAACGACGGAATTCTAATTGTTTTCTGCTCTTCATGTTCCAGTTACACTCCGTGGGTCGCCAGAATGTTAGGTGATGACTATCAAGTCCAGCATGCTCCTTGGGACAGACGAGACGGAGGAGCAAAGGACTCTGCGTATGGTCTACAATGCCTGGGCTTGTTTCTGCAGACCGCCATGTTAGAACCAACAAGATATGATGTTATTATCTTCAATTTCGGCATGCATGATATAAACTATAGCGGCAACCACTCGGAGGAATACATCACACCAGCTGAGTATGCTAAAAATCTAAGAGTCATAACATCAATACTGTTATCAACTGGGACTAAGGTAGGGTACGTTCTCACAACGCCGGTGCCGTATAACGCCTCGCTTAATGATCGCGTCATACAGTACAACAACATAGCACGTGACGTGATGAAGGAATATCCAACTGTAGTTACCGTTGACTTGTACACCTGGGTGATCGAAGTCTGCGGAGTTCCGCCTTATTTCAACTGCATTATCGCTGGCAAGCAGCCGAGCCCGCATTACACGCATTCAGGATATGAATACTTAAGTGAGAGGGTAAAAGATCTAATCATAGATCTTACTCCAGAACATGATGAGAGTCCCCGCTTTTGGAAAAGACAAGAATTATTTGTGAGTATTCTTTCAGGGTGCTTCATGGCTTACACCACAGCATATGTTCATATGATAGGTTAAACTAACGCTGCAGCCCCTCTCGTTTATAGTACTACGTTAGTATCAGGGCCGTCACTTCCCTAGACTGTTCACGGCCCTCTATTTTCTCGTATTGTTATTCCATCGCTGAACGAGCGGATAAAATCGCGAGAGAACTGGACGCCAACGCAAAGCGGAAGACTTGACTGGGTAGGGGGTAGGACGGAGATGCTCGCTTCGCTCGCAAACTCCACCCTCCACCCCTGCGAACTTTGCACTCGCTCCGCTCGGTTTTTTCTTTCGCCGGCGTAAATAGAGACTCTGTGAACAGTCTATCACTTCCCAGATAATGTAGCAGCTACATAAACAGGAGACAAGATCCGAAATTCCGAGTCCCGTCTTCAGTTTATTCCACATTCTTCGTTTGTCACGAAAGTATTCTCTTATCTTCTTATTAATCTTGTAAATAGCCCCGTGTAGCTTCAGCAATTACGAATTACCTTATTATTTAAAGAAAACACCCCAGCAATTAATTTTTTCGACGATTTCGATACGCGCGTATCCCAGCTAGGGTGGTACTTATTCACGCTTATTGTGCGAAGGACAGTGCTGTAGACTTACTATAAGAAACTCTTTGAATAAAACATAACAAGTCTTAGTTTTTCCAACTTGTTAGTAATAACAACCAAACCACATCCAAAACGCATCAAAATGCCCATGCCACTCTTTTTCCATATCGCTGTCGAGTGACTAACTGACTTAAACCCTTTACCTGTCCTTGGCAACTCTTTCCAATTAGTTGTAGCTAAGTTCAGTTTGTTGTGCTTTTAAAAGTCTTAGTCGATCTTGGGCCTTACCCCCCCCCCCCCCCCACTATTACCTCTCCCCACTCCCCCCGTCTGAGGTGTTCAACGAAGGGCATACCTGGTTAAAGTCTTTCTCAGAGTCTTACCCAGCCAGCGTCATTTGGTCGAGTAACTATAAAGCGTCTTCGAAGCGTTCGCTGTTGTTGTTGTACAGCGGTGCGGCGCATAATCGCAAGGGGAGACGCTAACTTTTTCGCCGGAATTTCTCTTTCTTCTAGTGGTCAAAGAGAGAAAATCCAGTTCAGTGCAAGAACAAGTCTGGTGACGTGGTGACAGTATGTCCATATAACAGCACGTGCTGTAACGAAAGGTATTCCGTACCAGGGCAAGGATGTTGTCTCACACCAAACGCCGTCCCGTGTGGGGACGAGTTGCACTGCTGTCCCGCAGGTTACAAGTGTGATCCGGCCTGTTCAAGATACGAGTGTTCCTGTCAAAAGGCGCGATGAAAGACGCATTGGAAAAGGCTGTTGTTTGTCAAGTTAGCTGAATGACTTGACAAAGTGATTATAATTTTTACCATAATTGAAATAATAAAAAGTTCGATTTTTTAAGACTTCTTTTGTTTATTAAATCCATTTTGAAATCACTGGTTATCCTTGCAATCTGATTGGCTTTCAGCAGTGCGATTTATTCACGAATCGCACTATTTTTTGCTCTAA